AAAAACAGCAACGTTTCTAAGACTACAGTAGAATCAAAATATTCAACAGTAGTCTCGGGGACTACACCCAGTGGGTGCACTCAGCGTGCCCCCACTAGTTCTACCGACTCGATTGACCAGTCGACCGAAAGGAACAAAGAGATTATGGTCTCATCATAGTCTACAAAAAAAAGAAAAAAGAGAGAGAGTTCTTCAGACTACAGTCGACTACCAGCAGTCCACCATAGTCTCGGGGACTACACCCAGTGGGTGCACTCAGCGTGCCCCCACAGGTCCTAACATTCCACTCGACATGGCCCGACCGGACCGAGTGAAGAAATTTCAACTACAAAGACTACAGTCGACTCCCAGCAGTCCACCATAGTCTCGGGGACTACACCCAGTGGGTGCACTCAGCGTGCCCCCACCAATCTACAAACCCAATCGACACACCCAGACACAAAGAGATTTTGGAAAGAAAATATTCAGATAACATATCCTAACAGAACAGGCGGTTGCCAACTAACCTGGACATTGCTCTGAAGGGCTGCGCTTGCATCATAAGCCGCTTGGCTAGCTTCCTTGATCGCCTTCACCTGCTCCTTCATAATCCTTGCGTGGCGTATAGCCTCCTTAGTAGCGCTCGCCTGGTCCTCTAGGACGTGGTGTGTGGCGAAAAAGGAGGGCAGTTCAGCAGTCGACAACGAAGGCCGGACACTCGTCAGCGGCACAGTGAAAGTCACGGAATGCCGAGCGATGTCGCCACCTTCTTGAACCAGTGCCTCAAGTGCTGACGTAGTCCGAGTGGCCTTGCCAGCTGCGGCCTATCTATTCTTCCTCGCCCTCAGGGGCACCTCGTCATCGTCATCAGGAAGATCAATGACGTGACGAGGAGCTGCAAGATAAATCCAGAGTTGGAAACGAAGATCCAATCGACCAAAAGCAAAAACTACAAGAGAACGTACCAGGGTTGGAGGTGACAGTGTCTTCCATTTCTTGGTCGCCGTCCTTGGCAGAGGTCTCGGAGGTAGCGACACTACAAATTTCAGAAACCGATTGGTTAGTCGATGAGTCGACCGGAAGTTCACTCGAGCTGAACAAGGAAACACAAATCCTGCTGTTACCCGGAGATGGTGGGAATGGCCATTTTCATATTAGGCAAGGCCTTCGGTGGCTTTGATGACTCCGCCCACGGATGCTTCGGCGCTTTTTCAGTCGGAACCGGAGAGGCTGTCCGAGGGCGCTTGTCGATGACACAACGGGCGCAACCGCTTTGCCTCGCTCCCTCGCGGGGTCATGGGCGAGCTTGGATCGCCTTTCCGTGCGAGGAGGATCGACTTCCATTTCCTCCTCCTCCTCCTCGCTGGAGCCGTCTTCAACTTCTTCCCCCTCGCCGTCAGATTGCCACTCCTCCACCTCACTTTCACCTCCACTCGCCTCTCCCTCCTCGGCTTGTTCCTGTGCCCTGTTGGGCATCGAGTGCATTTTAGTCGTGACCTAGAAGACAGCAAACAAGACAAAAGTCAGTCGGTTGATTTCAAACAGACAGAATCTCTGTCGGAAATGCAGAATTGGACCTTGTCAACTTCATATGATTGGTCGAGTGGAACAACCCTTCTGGCTCCTCGGGGGTTGTCCTTGTTCCCCGTAATGCTTCCCATCCACCGCTCCAGCGTGGCACCGTCGATATCCTTCGGGTGGATCTGAGTGGTGTCCTCAGTTCCAGAATACATCCACATAGGATGATCTCGAAATTGGAGCGGCTGGATGCATCGCCGGAGGAAGACCTCCAGGAGGTCCATACCAGTCACCCCGTCACGGATGAGCTACACGACACGCTCGACCAACACCCTCACCTGCACCTTCTCCTCCGGGATCACCTTCAAAGAGGAGGGCTTCCTCACTCGCTCCATGGAAAAGGGAGGGAGCCCGGTCGACTGCCCTGGCGTCGGCTGGTCCTTGCAGTAGAACCAAGTCGACTGCCACCCATGGACGGAGTCGGGCAAAATCATGGTCAGAAAAGAACTTTTGCCCCTCAACTGGATCCCAAGACCCCCGCACATCTGAATCACATGTGTCCTCTCGTCACTCGGATTTGCCTTCTTCACTATCTGGGAGCGGCAGGTGAAGATGTGCTTAAAGAGGCCCCAGTGAGGCCAGCAACCCAAGAAGCATTCACACAAAGACACATAGGCGGCGAGGTACACTATGGAGTTGGGTGTGAAGTGGTGGAGTTGTGCCCCAAAGAAATTCAGAAACCCCCGGAAGAAAGGGTGGGGCAGCAAAGAAAACCCACGGTCGACGTGGGTGGCCAGAAGAATGCACTCCCCGTCCTGAGGCTGCGGCTCTGACTCACTCCCCGGGAGCCGCCCCGATCCATGGGGGATCAGCCCTCCGTCGGCCAGGTCGTCGAGATCCGCCTGAGTAATTGTCGATCGGATCGAGTCGCCCTGGATCCAGCCCGGCGGCAGGCCGGTCCTCGATGAAGAGCCACTCCGACTAGTTCCCCTCCCCCTCGCCTTCGCCGTCGCTTTCTTCGCCCGCTCCAGAGCCGCCGTCTTCTCCTTCACCATCGTCGCCGGCGAAGCACACGCGGGGCAGCGGCGCTGAGGCAAAAGCTAACGCGGCGGAGAAATCTGGAGAAGAGGGAGGAATGAGGGCGCACTGTTGAAAAAACCCCGTCCGGCGCTTTATATAAGGCTGCTTCCGAGTGGCTGACATGTGGGCCCGGACGATCCTGTCAAATCCCGCAACAGTCGCGCGCGTGATACGTGGCGAAAAAGGTGGCGCGGAAATTGAGGCATCCCTGCCTTATCCTGTCCGATTGCTGCGGCCTCGCCCCGTCCCATGCGCTTCCCAAAATTCGAATCCCACAGAATCTGCGAGTTGCAGAACGACTCGTCAGACAGAAGATCTACCTCCGCTCTGACACTCGGAGCTCCCCCAATCGAAAACTTCACTCGACAGATACAAAGAATGGATCAAGGCGACTGAAAAAGAAGTTGGTGTCGTCATCTAAAAGTTCATTGATCCAAGACAAGACATGCTCACAGCACAAGAAACGGGTCAGAAAAATTCTCAACTCCTTCCCCACTCAAACCCCGATCCATTCGGGGGCTAATGATGAGGCTATGTACCTAGGGTAGGGTCATGGACCTGTCTAAATTACCCTACCCAAGGACATCTCTAGAAGAAACTACCTGTCAGTCGACCCAGAGGTGATCCACTCGACAGACTCTGGGACACTCGACCGCGAAGATAACCACTCGACCATGGAGCTAACCACTCGACGGCTAGGAGATCTAAAGTCACTCTACACGCAACGGTATGTCATTAAGTAGCCTTTATGGTCTTCATAGCACTTTATGTGGGCGTTACCAGTAACCCCCGGTCTTAATGTACTTTAAACCCTGCATAATTGAGGGCTGGAGGGGTCTGACGAACTCTATATAAGCCACCCCCCTCCTCAGTGTAAAGGGTTCGCACCCCTGTAACTCACACGCATATAATCCAGTCGACCGCCTCCGGGCTCCGAGACGTAGGGCTGTTATTTCCTCCGAGAAGGGCCTGAACTCGTAAAACTCTTGCGTGTACAACAACTCCATTGCTAGGATCTTGCCTCTCCCTTAGTACCCCCTTACACTACTGTCAGACTTAGAACCACGACATGCGATGGCGTTGAACGGATACTCCAGAAGTTGGGAGTGCAAAGTAGAGTAATGAGGAACTTAATTTTGTTCGAGTGTTGATTGTGAAGAAGATGAAAAGGGACTACAGTTGCAAGTGGAGTCACATGGAGTCTGGGAGTAGCTGAGGTGCTCATGGTGTATCTCAAGTCCAATGCACATGGAGGTTCGACGCATGGATGAATCCAATGTAGTCAAGAATATTTGCCAAGGTGAAGTTTGTTAGAGATGTGTCAAATATTATTGTATAAGGTAGGTTACAGTTGGACTCTGAGTCGTACGGTGTGTAGACAGGATATGGAATCAGTTCCCAAATAGGACACTTGTATTCTAGGCCTCTTATATAATGAGGGGTAGACACACGATGTAATCTATGCCAACATAATAGCACAGACACGTGAGGGAGCCGGTGGCATGTGCCGGCACCCGAGCGGTTGGTGTGCGGTATTATAGCGGTGTCATGGGGAGGAGCGCCCATAGTCAGGCCTCGGGATGTAGCCATATTGTTGAATCTCGTTAACAGATCTCAGTCGTGCTTGTGTGATTGCTTTGTCCTTGGTAGATCGACTGTGCGCCTCGAATTTATTCTAACAATGTCGCTGCTACTTCAATTCTCTCGCATCCGCTCTGGGCGACGTTAATGCGGAGCGGCCGCTCTACATCGGCATAAATGTGGGCAGCTGACGCCAGGCAGGAATACACGCGGGCACCTTATTTATTATTTCACATTTTATTGGACAAACTAAATACAACATATTGAAGTAGTTGTATGTTAAGCTGTTGGTTGATGACATGATATATTTTACTAACAAACTAACATACAAACTGTTGGAGAGGCCCTCGCTCGAATCTCAAAATAATAAGGAAATAAAAAGGAACAAGAGAAGATTTGTAGATGGCGGCACGGTGGTTGCTAGGGGGCCTCACTTGCGAGCAACAATCACTAGCGGCGCCATGGTACTTGTGCGCCAACGTATAAAATTCGTTACCTTACCGGTAGATTGGTTGTTTCTTTTTCCGGCAAACCAGTAGATTGATTTTGCAACAAGAAACAAAGGAGCGCATGCCAACAACTCGTACTACTCCATAAATCAGAGGCCGGAAGAGTACAATGTAGAGAGCGCTTTTAAGCTGGAAAAATCCACGGATTCATTCCCTTGTTCTTCTGCTCGACGGACCCATGGACGGAGATTCTGTTCTGCCGTCCTCGTCGACGGAAATGAATGCGTGACAGAGTGTGGATGCTAATTAGTACAGTATGTTCCAGCGCAAACTGCATGCTCCTGCTTAATTGAACTTCCCTAGGCTTAGCGACCACAGAATTCACTTTGCGGCTCATACTTGAGGTGATGTTGACGATTCACTCTTGTCGCCTGTTGCCTTCTCTCGTGCGGTTTTGTCTTCGACGTTGTTTGCAGTTCGCTCATTCGCACGGGCCCCATCTTCAACCAGGGATCCAGTGCGCGTCAGTTCCTTGACCTTGCGGAATTCATGGTAGTGATTGCGGTGGTGCTCCTTGAAACTCACTGATGATTTGTCAGCTTCTGAGTCTGCATCAACACCCAACATTTATCACTGCATGTTCAAATAACGTCCTGGACTCGGATGGTGAGCTTATTATTGCCCATTACGTTGACAATGAAGTATACACTTGCGCATGACATCAAATACAAATATAAATCATGATATAAGATGCAGACTTAGAAAGAGTCACAAAAGGTTTAACTTAGCTAGGAAAACAGAAAAGCTATATGATCTCATTACAGAAAGAGTCATTAGTTGGATCAACTATGGACCTCATTACAGAAAGTTGATACCATAAAATGGAGTTGCATAACTCAGCTAGTCAAATAAATTCATCATCCGAAATTATTATTTACTATAGTAACTCTAGAAACATAAAATGGTTACTGAGAAAGAAGCTACCAACCACCATCATGTTCTATGGCATCTGCGTCATCATCTGAGGATGCCCACTCATCATCCTTTGAATCATTTTTACTTGAAGAGGCCACACCATTTAAAGCAGTTAATATATCTTCTGCACTAACAGTCGCATCTAGACACTTGTCGAAAGGGTGTGTTGGTGATAGTGACCCTAGAGAGAGCAATCAGTGAAAAAAATCAGCACCCGCACATTATGAGCACAAATAGTGGTCAGATATGATGAGATACAGGTAACAAAACATGTACCATCATCATCCATCATAGGGTGATACGGTGTCTTGGGCTCGGCTATCTTCTGCCGCACTGGCTTGTTTGATTCAATCTCATACAGATTGTCCTCATTCCACTTCACACGATGAGAGCTGGAGAAAAAAATCAAAATAATGGAAGGAAAATCAAGCAAGTTGAGGTCTAGCTCACACTTATGCAGCCAGTTCAGTTGTTTCATTAGCTCTGGATCATAGCAAAACATTTGCGCAAAAAACATGGTTTCATGTACAATACCGTATAAAAATGGAAATGGTACTACAAAATCATACCCATTTTTGCCAATACCACATCCTTGTAGAAATCGATAGCTAGGCCTTATGGTGTTTAAGCAGGCAACAGAACAATGCTATTTCCTAAGACTTCATAGTACCGTAAAATGCAAAAGCCAAATAGAAAATTCTGTATTCAATATAAGCCCTTTGACATATTAGCTCTATCAGTACCTCCAGTTTCTCAACCAGGGAAATCTATTTTTTACTCCCTCCGTTCCAAAATAGATGACCCAACTTTATACTAAAGTTAGTACAAAGTTGGGTCATCTATTTTGGAACGGAGGGAGTATAAAACATGGATTAAGTTCAAGACTCTCTACGCACTTCAATTTACCATGTCATGTTGCAACGTAAAGTTCAATTGTATTCCTCAGGACACCAAACAAATATGCTGGGCACTTGTTCACAAGTTGGTAAAAAAATGCTTATGCTCCATCATTATGCTAGCCCAGAGATAATCAAGACTTGAAATAACCCAAGTCAAGTAATGGAGTAATAACTAAGACTCTGAAAAACATGCATACCGAAATAAGTCAGTATGCATGATATCTTTCAACAGCTTCTTATTGATTCAAAGGATGAATTAAGACTACTAACCTCATGCTTTAAGTTTCTTAACCTCCCAGTGATGATGAGTGAAGATCAAGAAATCTTTAGACAGCAAATCGAAGCCAGATAACACACCTATTCTATGTTTTCCTGCAGAAAAAAACTGTCAAGACTCAAGAGTAAATCGAACAAATATGCACATATTATGGAAGAATTATCAGAAAACTACACATTTAATCTTGCATTTGACAAAAGTGCACATACTCTGCAATAATGTTTCGATAATGCGCACGTTCATTAACTCGTAGTATATGAGACCGAATCCGACATGCAGGATCCATCTAATAGTGCATTTGACACATGGGAGGTGGGACCAGCTAATGACCCGAGGGCAGTTGTCAGCAAGAATCTATGGCTTTTGTAATCACAGAACTAATAATTTTTAACATACTTGCACCATTCATCCATCCATCTACAAATAAACTAACATCATGCATTCATCAATCAAGCAAATCATCTACATCCATGTATCCATCCATTGTTCCATACTCTTCCATGTAAAGAGAAGAACAAGCAAATCATCTGCATCCATCCACTCTTTCATGTACAAAGAAGAAAAAGAGAGGCTCACCGAGGCAGAGGTCCAAGGACAGCAGCTGCCGGCTGGGTGGGCTCGCCGGGGCCGGCGGAGGATGGCAGCGGATGGCGGTTAGGGCGGTCGGAGCCGGCGGGGCAGAGGACCTCAGGGGCCGGCGGGATGGGGGTCGGAGGAGGCGGCGCGGAGGAATGCTTCGGCCGGCCTGATGGAGGCGTCGGGACCACGCTCGTGGGCTCCGACGAAGCCGCCGGTCGTCGAAACCTTAAAATCCAAATGTTTTCTTTTGTGGGAGCTCCAGAATCGAACCAAAAAAATGCTGCTTCTGAATTGTGGTTCGATGCAAACCAATCTGTGGTTGGATGGTTAGAGGGACTGTGGTATCCCCAGCCCACCAGGGTTCAAATCCTGGTGCTCGCATTTATTCCTGCATTTATTTCAGGATTTCCGGCGATGCACATTCAGTGGGAGGAGACAATATGCTGGTTCAGTCTTTCGGAGGTGCTCATAGGGGTAGGGTGTGCGTGTGTGCGATCCCGGGGATACCGTGAAACCAAATGAGGCCTTACGAGAAAATCCCATCCTTGCCGTGAACTGAACTGAATAAGCCATCATAGCGACTAGCATCTACGGAAATTTGCAAGAGTGGATGACCTCGCATGCTCAGTGTATCATTATGCACTTGTTCGCATTGGGATACGGGTTGTTGAACATATTGTCAGGTGTATACTGTCGTGGAATTGTCACGGCAGATGTCCTCTTGCAAGGACTTAGTCGCGAGGCCAACGCATCTATGTGGTAGCTTGAGAGGGGTTGGGCGGAATCGAGAGACGCTAGGCGGATCATCACAGAAGACGAGGATTTAGATAGCTTCGGGCCCCGGGAAACATCATCCGGAATAGCCCTACATGCTGTTTGAGGCTAGGTCTCATTATGCTCATCGAGAGTCGCCGCATAAGCCGGCTCCCCCTTTGTGTCTAGCCCTAGATATTGTTTCTTGTTACTTGTCCCTCTTTGGGGTGCCCTGCTCCTCCTTATATAAGTTAGAGGGGCGGGTTACATGTGGAGTCCAAATAGGATTAGGATTAGCCTATCTTCTACTACAAGCCGGATACAAGTCCAGGTCTTGATTCCTTGTAAGGAAGATATTCCTCACGCCTTTATTCTTAAGCCGGCCTACCATAACATAAGCCGGCCTTCTGGGCCTTGAGCCTCCTGGGCCCCTGGGTCTTGTCGCTCCTCTGATCCGCTTGCCAGGTCACCCATAAGTCGCCAGGATCGGGCGGGTCACTTAGTGTGTCGTCCAGCCAGGGCGGGTCATCAGTGAGTCGCCAAGTCCGGCCGGGTTATACTTCCGGCCTGGTTACACCGCGGGGTATATCCCCGACATATACTATGTCCAGACAAAAAGTATCCAGCCCGTATGGTCGAGGGGCTGACCCACGTCAACAGTGCACATTTCGTTTGGCACTTGACGGGCAGAGGTCATGTACCAATTGCACGCGACGTGGACGGTAAGCGGGGTGGGTGAGCTGGTCAATAGACTCCACTAGTAGAAAAAGGGCCTAATGTGAAGCACATTAGTCCCGGTTTGTAGTTGAACCGGCACTAATGTGACTATTAGTGCCGGTTCCAACGGCTAGGCGGGCGGTGACCATTAGTACCGGTTCGTGACGAACCTCTAGTCCCGGTTCGTGCCACGAACCGGGAGTAAAGAGGTGGTGGCAGGCTGGTGTCAGGCTGCGGCCCCACCAACACCTTTAGTCCCGGTTCGTGGCATGAACCGGTACTAGAGATGCACCTTTAGTCCCGGTTTGTATAACCAACCGGGACTAAAGATCACCCTATATAAACCCTTCGTCCAGCCTGAGCTCTCTGTTCTTCCCCTTTCATTCCTTCCTCTTCTCTGTTCTTCCCCTCTTCCTCGAGCTCATCACACATTTTGCTCAAATTTTGTCAAGATTTGAAGGCCCCCATCCATTCAAGTGATCACAAATGTTAGCAACTTTGTCCTTTCATCTCTCATTGCTAGATTAGCTCTTGCAATGCTCTATATAGTGATTAATTTTAGGGTTTTAGTAATTTGGGAGGAATTATATGTGGTAGTTTATTTGATTTATATGCAATTTAGGCTCAAAATAACTCTTAGTTTGCATATGTAGGTGTGGTTTACTTAGTGCCTTCCCATCTCCATCCTAACCACCGTCGATCGTCCGCACCATCCCGTCGCCAGCACCACCTTGTGGTGAGCCTCTTGTTCTTATCTTTTTTATAAAAAAATCATGTTTGTGTGATTTAGATATATAGTTACTTGTATAATTATCTTACCCGTACGTTTTTTGTTATACATAGTGCCATGGTTTTGATATCTGTCCCCGTCGGCCCTCGTCCAGTTTATGATTTGGATGTGGTATATTCTCTTTTATAACTATTTGTTGCATTTCGTGTTTATGAAAAATTATGCCCATCAAGTTGACATAGATATTTTTATCTAGGAGGTATGTGAACAGGAAATTCCAACGACCCTATTGTCGAGTGGTTAAATTTAGTTGAAAATGAAAACGAGTATTTGAAAGAAAAATTGAAAAGAATTGAGGACGAGAAGATGGAATTGGAGTTGCATCTTGCTGATGTCGTCAATGATCACAAGATCAAGATGGAGAAAATGTTCTTGAAGATTAGAAATATTAGAAAATATGCCATTGGTAGTGAGGCTTGGTATCATTATGCTGTTTTATCAATTGTTACCTTAGTTGCCATCTTGATCGCATTTGTTGTTGCATTTAAATGCTTTAGCTAGAAAGTTTGTATGTTGTTTTATGAGAATAAGTGTGTATGGAACTTTATGTATGAACTTGTATTAATTTGGTCTTTTCGGTGCTGTGTAATGAAGATGAGCCGATAGTGGATGTACAATGAACGATGCTCTCCCCAGTTCGTTAATGGCGTGCGTACTTTTCTGCTTGCAGTTGAGGCAAACAAGCGGGCGGATGGTTTTATGTCTTGTCCATGTGCTGGCTGTAAGAATGATCAAAATTACTCTAAGTCAAAAACCATTCATGTCCACTTGTTTGAGTCCGGTTTCATGCCCCACTATAATGTTTGGACCAAGCACGAAGAAACAGGGGTTATGATGGAAGACAATGAAGAAGAAGAGGACGACGACAGCTATCCTGTCCATGGATTCCCTGAATATGATGGTACAACAATGGGGGAAGAAGCTGAGCTGGCAATGCGGGAAGAAGCTGAGCCGACAATGTGGGAAGAAGCTGAAGAAGGCATCAGATGAGCCCGCTGATGATCTAGGTGGGGTCATTGCCGATGCAAAGAGAAACTGTGCAAGTGTGAAGGAGAGGCTGAAGTTGCAGCGCATGTTAGAGGACCACAAGAAATTGTTGTACCCAAATTGCAAAGCTGACAAGAAAAAGCTGGGCACCACACTGGAATTGTTGTAATGGAAGGCAGAGAATGGTGTATCTGACAAGGGATCTTGAAAGTTGCTGATAATGTTAAAGAAGATGCTTCTAAAGGACAACGAATTGCCCGAGAGTATGTACGAAGCAAAGAAGGCTGTATGCCCCTAGGATTAGAGGTGCAGAAGATACATGCATGCCCTAATGACTGCATCCTCTACCGTGGTGAGTACGAGGATTTGAATGCATGCTTGGTATGCGGTGCATTGCGCTATAAGATCAGTCGCGATGACCCTGGTGATGTCAAGGGCGAGCGCCCTAGGAAGAAGATTCCTGCCAAGGTGATGTGGTATGCTCCTATAATACCATAGTTGAAACGTTTGTTCCA